GAAAGTTATACACAAAAGCACACGTCAGTGGAGGGCTCTGAAATGCTTCCTCGTGTATCACCTTCGGCCTTGCATACTAGATGGCCCAAAAGCGTCACACACATCTTCATCAGATCTTGATGAGATGAGATTCAATCATCGCAAAAAGCCACAACTTGGCGGATGGGTGTCGCATCTTGTTCATATGCTCGGATACCTCCTTGCCAACCAATGACCACACGCAATCCGCCATCGGGTGTACACTCGATCAGAGAATGGCGCCAAGAATCCCTTCCATGCACACTGCACAACGACTCTCCCTTGCCATGTTGTTGTGTCATAAGACGTCAGCTGTTTTTTTGTGTGTGGGGGTAAGATGTTAACTGTTGGTAATGAATGTCGGGCCAGCCGACATAGAAATTGTCTGATCCTCGTTGGGACTTGAATGTGCCACAATGAGATGGCATAGTGTTGATTGGAAGATATGAGACACGTGCTGTATGCGCGGGCCTCTTTTGCAGAGACACCCTGTACATACCGAGTACAATGTACACACAACTCATATGGATACTACAATATCACGCACCGGTGGAGCTTCAGCAAGGCTGAAAGGGCCATGGCCCGCCCTTGGCTGGAGCAAAATAAGATTTTACATGAAGCAGCCCACAATAATTCATTAATTTTTAATTTGGTAGCACTGTACGTACTATCCGGCCCGCCCAACATTTTTTTGATAGCTCGGCCACTGGTATCACGCAACACTCTCACTATCAACGGAAATGTTGCCTCCCGCTGGAAGAATAATCTGCCGATGTGACGCATAGTCAATCCTAGGGTCTGATCCTAGGTGGACTGAGATACAATCACTCTTAATTAATACTCCATCTATTTTTATTTACTCCGCATGTTACCTTTGTTTGAAGTCAAACTTTACGAACTTTGCTAAGTTTATAGAGAAAAATATTAACATATACAATACCAAATCAATACCATTGATTCATCATTGAATATATTTTCATATCATATAAATTTGTTATTGTAAATGTCCATATTGCTTTCTACAAACTTTGTTAAAATTTACAACATTTGACTTCAGTCAAAGCTAATAAAATTGGAGGGGGTACTCACATTCAGATATTTCTTGTCTACTCTCTCTGTCTCAGAATGTTAGGTCAAAAAACGTCTTACATTCCGAGACAGGTCAAAAAACGTCTTACATTCTGAGACAGAAGGAGTACTTGTCAATTGTCATACACATATGACAGCTGACTCAAATGTTACACCACAATTTTTTTAAGAGAATTGTGTTAAGCCCATATACCCATGAGTTTCTACGAGGTAGCATTGTCAGTGAGGAAGAGAATCACTGATGGGTCGTTAATCTTTGACACTTCAGCACAAAGTTCTGACTGTCAACTGCTCAACGCACACAATTGGCCAACATGCATCAATGCACCATTATGAGATATTGCGGAGTTTACATTTTGTGTAACTAGTATAGTATTATTCCTCTCCTTTCATCAACAATAATCAACCGGAGAAAATACGGAATCTACTCTGACATTATATCAGTGATTACATAATGCGTGTCTTCTGCAGCTCCTACTACGTGCTCTACTAAAAAAGACTTGCATTCCCGGCGGCACACGTTCTGCTGATCTACTACAAAAGTGCAGGACCTGTGAAGACCAAAGCCTCGTTTGCATTTGTGACTTTGATCATGATTTGTGGAGACATGCTGGCGAGTGACCAGAAAAATTGCTTCTTGGCTTCTTGCAAAGGAAGACAACTGCAAACCCATCGTACAGAAATTCTGTAACATCGTCAGTATTACATTGGTAAGCATGGATCGTCCTTAACAGTTCATCCTCTTTCAGAACGGTTAGTTTTCGCCTCGTTGAGATGGAAATCAAGCGAGTCAAGTTCATCATGGTTTTTTCTTCTTAAATAAAAGAAAAAGCTCATCACTGAGGGGTGATCCTCAGATCGATTCCGAAGCTCATGCCGCTGTAAGCGAGCGGCGCGTACATCCACATCTCGTCAGAGCTGAGCACCTGATCATGAAACAACCTTTCTGGTAAGAGACATCAAGATCACACAAAGTTCCTAGGAAAGAAAGGTCTAATACAACCATGAATATTATGCTTACCTTGATCTGTAGCTGCAAGAACTTGACGTAGAGGACTGCCTCCTCCAGCATAGTGCTGAGATCCACCTGTCAAGATATGTCACAACAGTCAGAACATACTAGCAGGCAGCAACTTATTAGTAACCAATGCAATCTCTAGTTGAATTTCTTTTGCAAAATGTAATGTATGTACGCGAGAGTTACTTTGGTTCCGTTGGGCACCAGCTTCTGCAGGACTCGGAGTCTGTCGTTAATCTTCTCCCTTCTTCTCTGCAATGGACAGAACAAAACTCTGAAGTCTGAACCAATCCACTGAAACGGTCGTATTGAATTGACCTGCGGGGCTGCACATGCATTGAGCTCACCTTCGCATAGAGGCTCTGGGGATCGGCCGCAGACCCGCGGCCGGCCCGCACCTTCACGGTGCCGCCGCCGGCGACGTTGGCCTCCTCGCCGCCGTCCCCCTGGGAGCAATTGGACTCGTTGTCCGAGCAGTAGCTGCTGGATCGCCGCTTCTGCTGCGCCATCTTGGTCTTGGATGTGACAGACTTCTCCCCCTGCATGATCACGGCCAATTAAACTGAATCAGCCCCGCGCCCTCGCCACGGTACGCAAGTAAACTCTTCAGCTATAGCTATCGATCGAAGTTGCGTTACGCCATGCCTTGTGATCTGCAGCTCGAGCCTTCTTCTTGTGCCGTCCAAGATCCCCTCCCTGATCATGGGCATGGCCGGCCTGAAAAACCTTCCGCTTCGGCGTTGCGGCGGCACCGTCGCCATTGCTGTCGCGATCGCTGAGGAGGTAACCAGCACCAGCGCGGACGCGACCGCGACCAGCGGGGGGCGAAGGGCCGGGGACCATGTTGCCATTGCCACCACGCTTGCCGGCCCTCTCCTCCTTCCGGGAGAGGTTGAGGTCGATGGAGCCGCAGTAGGAGAGCGTGTTGATCCCGAGCGACACGTCGGGCTCGCCGAGGAAGTCGTAGCCGCCGTCGAAGCACGGGTACGGCGCCGTCAGGAACTGCGCCACGATCTCCGACTCCTCCTCGTCCGGCGCGTGGCATGGCGACCACCGCGCGGCCTCCTGCGACCTGACGGCAGCTGCCTGCTCCCGCAACATTGTGTACTACTGTCCAAGCGATCGAGGCGAATGGTGCGACGCAAGCACGGAGAGACGGACGCTAGCTGCACTGCGACGTACTGTAGGGAGTAGCTAGCTAGGGAGCATGCACGCAAGTGGATGACGGTGTGTACGTACGTGCTCGTATATATGGCCATTGAGGTTGAGATGAGCTCAAAATTGTTTCTTGCACAGCTCAGGCGCTGCTAGTGCTGGTGCTAGGTGCAAGCTGGGTAACGGCTGATTCGGTCGGCAAAATGTCAGAAGTCTCAAGAGAAAACACTAGTGGTAGTATACAAATACTACCATCTCGAAGAGAAAAATGGGAAATGATTGGTAAGATACTGAGAACATTCTTGTGACAACTGACAACACAGAAACATAGTCTCTTTTAGGGTGCTTGGATCCAAGGGACTATTTTTAGTCTGACTAAAAATAGTCTTTTTTAGAGGCTTAAGTTCCAAGCACCCCTGACTAAAGAGAGGCTAGGACTAGTCTTGAGGCTAAAAATTTTTAGTCATAGGAAACCTACTAAAATATGTATTAGCTCTCTCTCTTCTCATTTAATTCCTCTCCTTTAACACATGCGAGTTCTGGATTGGAGGGTTTGAAGGATAATAAATGCTCAATAACTTGATTTTAGTCTCTTTAGTATTTGGATCCAAGCATGAGTGAGGCTAGCAAGTTTTAGTCCCACTACTTTTAGTCATGGGACTAAAACGTATCCAAGCACCCTCATAGTAACATGGATTGAAACTGTGCTGAGTTCGTGCGCGCCTGTGAGAGTGAGCGCCAGTAAATTCATGCACTTAGATCTGAAACACCATTTACATGACCTGTATGGTTACCTTTTGATTTATCCTGTCCAAGAAAAAATAAAATGCGATATTGCGATGAAATCTTCAAAGC